ATTTTTTTCTATTGTTGAGGTCACTTATGATCATCAAATTTTTGGCACCCTGATACAATACGCATTTCTTCATCTGTGAAAACTCACAAGAATTAATTAGATTATAAATGTGAAAGCAATTTGTAAATTGTAAAGCACTATGCAAATGTTAATTGCCAGATGTTGAATAATACCCTCAACTTCCTGACAATCCACTGGCTTCCTATTAAACTATTACAGTATTTTTGTTCAATCACCTATCCTTGATAGAAGTTTTTCTGATTAAAATTGTAAACTAATGAAACATCAAGGCGATATCCTCCTTCATGCCATTGTATTTTAAATTAGCAAGTTGTAGAAATAAAGTACCAAATCAATGAACTGGAAAATATTTTCTCTCATTCTATTGAATCAACGTGAGTCTACTACATTTGCTGAGTAAAGTTTTACTTTTCATGCATTAATGCCTCTGAAGAATAAAGGGCAAATGATAATACATTCTAGTATCTTCCAAAGACTTAATAGAACAAGCCTGGAGGCTAGCTAAAGCCTCTGTCCAAGACTTCCATCTGCTCACCATTCTGCAAAATGTATGGCGTAGAGAAGACCTTTAATACCCATTTATTCAATGAATGAGTGAAAGGCTACATAAATGACTGAGAAGACCATCTACCGTGGAAAGCCCACCAATCAACAAGCAACAACTGAAAAGGGAGTATGCCAACCAGAGACCATGAATCCTCTGGCCTCAACCTCCACTGGCTTTGAGTTTGGGCAAGTTACTAGGTCTTCATGCATAGTCATTTCCTTGAAATTGAAACAGAGGAAATAAACACAGAGTCACAGAACTGTCTACCCTGTGACAGGAACTTACTTAGAATCCCTGGGTAAGCACTAAGCCTCCTTAGGCCCTGGTTCCTTATCTGTAAAATAAGTTTTGACTGGATGATATGAATATCTGCTCTATCTAGTTTAGGGTCTATGATTCTAAAATTAGCTTCAGTGAGAGAGAGATTAAAAATGCCTCGACAAATGTCAGAAGTATTATACATTTGTACAGTAGAGGTGAAAAAGGCCGTTAAAAGAAAACATTCAGTCAGAAGATTCTAAACTTATCCATCATTCTTCTGAACTATTCATACCTTTTAAGGATTCCCTTTCTTTTGGAGCAACCTATCTTTTGCATACCATATCAAAGGCATTCTTACAGAATACAGTGTAATACTGGTCACCCGCCTCAAAAACTCACTTTCTGTATTTGTAGCTAATAGATACATAGCAAAGAGCCCATGTCATTAATGATAACTTAAGTCATCTTTTCGTTCACAGTTTTCCTTGGTTTATTAATGGCATAACACATTAATTCTTCTTTCAGGGGTGACCTTTACAACACCATTAATGTGCACAGCTTTTATCCAGCTACATTATTACTCATTACAGTTTCAGCTTTCAACATCTGCATTTGCTGAAAAGAGAAAAGTAAATTGTAGCAGCCTCAAATCCTTGGAAACTATGAGGGATGTGTGGATGTGTATGTGGTGAAGGGATTTTTCAGGGGGAAAAAAAAAAAACTAAGGGAAGTTTTAGTAGTGGAGAAAGTCAGATGATAAATGTCATTAAATACATTCATACATTCTTGCCTTTTGAAAATATTTTGTCATACTTAATCCCTGGAATGCTGAAGTAAAAAAATCCTCTTACGATAAAATGCAAATCTATCAGTTATTTTGTTAAATATTCTGGTTCTGGTGACATTACAAAAGTAGTTCATAGACCAGAGCTGTGATATTTATGAGCCTTCATTTCTATTATGGAAGTGAATCATTCTTGCCAAATAAAATATTTTTTCTTTTACATACTTAGGACATGAAAGCAAGTCTTATCTTGGAGTCCATTTAGGATGTGGAGGGGAGTAACTGAGTTAGGCCGTAACAGAGTGGTGCATAATGATAAAAAATGGACGTGTACCCCAACCTTTTTCAAACTTCTCAAAACTTAAGTTTTCCAGTGTCTGTTCTCACTGCTGTCCCACTGCCCCAGACTGGCTTCTTCTTGGCAAATAATACGAAATTCTGCTCTGTGGAGATTGAAGCCTTTGAAATACATTCCTTCAGCTTTTTTTTTTTTTAATCCATCCCACAATTTCTCTGTAACTTTACCCCTTTTTTCCCTTTGTTTTATTCAGTCTCAGAAAAGAGAGGGGCTTTGTCCCTTCCAAGGTTAATCCTTTCTCATGATCTCTTGTCTTGTTCCATCTTCATCCATGCTCTCTTCCGTATCTTTATCTGTCTCTGACTCTTCTTCCCCTTGACCATATATATATATATATATATATATATATATATACACACACACATATATATACACACACACACACATATGTATATATATGAATGATTGCCCTATTTTAAAACCTGTCTCTATGTAGTCCTTTTAAAATAATCACTTCTCAACACCAAGCTTACAAAAAGACTGGTCTATAGATCAGCTGCATTTTCTCTCCTCACAGTCTTGAAATCATTGGGATTGAAATTCTGTTAAGGCATTCTCTTAAAACTTCTCTATCAGAGTTTACATCTCCATGAGCGCCAGCTAAATCATAAGGTTTTTCTTTTTCATTTTTTAACTTTTCTGCCAAATGGGACATCATTAAATAACCTTATGATTTCTTGAAACTTTTATTTTTCCTAGGCTAGTATGACAGTGTCCTATCTTCATTCTTATTCTAACACAGTCACTTGCTCTTTATCAGTTTCCCCCCTAAAAAAGTATGCTGGTTTTAAAATGTGCCCAATGATACTTTGATATCCCCCTTCCCTTGAGTTGGGCTGCCCTTGTGATTCTCTTACAACGAAGAGAAAGGTAGACTTTCAAGACTAGGTCACAAAGGGCACTGTGGCTGTCTCTTTGCTCTCTCCTCTTGGAGCACCCACTCTTGGGAAAGTTAGTTTCCATGCAAGGAGCAGGCCTATGGAAAGACTCACAAGGGAAGGAATTGACCCTCTAGCCAACAACCATGTGAGTGAGACATCTTGAACAAGGAGCATCTATCCCTAGTAAAAGTCCATAGAGGACTATGGCCGTGCCTAACACATTGATTGTAACCATGAGGCCTTAAGCCAGAACTACTCAGCAAAGCTGCTTCCAAATTCTGACCCTTAGAACCTGGTGGGATAATGAATGTTGGTTATCTTAAGCTCTCAAGTATTAGGTTAATTTGCTATGCAGTAAAAGATAACTGATACAGTAGGTGATACTTGTGATTCTTTATCCCGCTTCTCTTCTTACTATGCACACTCTTTTTTGCTGAACTTCATTTTTTTTTTTTAGAGGTGCATATATCTTTTCATTTTCTTAATTCTTTTAATAGTAGTATAGCTAACATACAGTATCATATTAGTTTCAATATGGTGATTTAATAATTCTATACTTAATTTCGATACAGTGCTTTAATAATTCTATACAGGACTCTGTGCTCATTGTGATAAGTGTACTCTTAATCCCCTTATATCATATGTAATTCTATATCTAAAATGCTAGCACCATTTTACATATCAGACTTATGTTTATAGTTTCCTCCTGAGGATCTCTACCTAAATGGCTCCTTGTGTTTCAATGCTTACTACATTTTTATATCTATGTCTTCCAAATCTGCTTCCACTCTGGTCTTCTTTTTCACAGTTAAGGGAGGAATTATCCTTCTTATTTTACGAATTCAAAATCCTATACTCCTCTGTGTCCAACTTGAACTACACCAGGTAGACTCTATTGAGGATAGGTTATATTAAGTTTTCTTTACTAATAATATCTCTTCAATCTATTCCTTCCTTTGCTTTATCATTGCTTATTTCTATTTCATGTAACTAACTCTTGTCCTACACTAAAACAATGGTTTCCCTGATTCCTATCTCTTCCTGTTGCCAATACTCTTCTTTCTTAAAGTTCTGATCAGATTGCTGTCTGGAGAAAAAGTCAAAATTTCTTAGGATAGCATTCAGTCAGATTCCATCTGCTCCTTTCAGTTTTAGCCCTGATCACTTTTCACTACACATTCATTCTATATTCTAGCCAAATCAGTGCATTTCTCAAAAATATGCTATTTTACTCTGGGTTTTTTCTTAAAGGCTAAATGCCTAGGACTGTCTCTCTTCCTCAAGATTCCACTTGAATTAGGTTATCCCCAACTTAACTTTACTTGATCCTTCCCAAAGAGAATCCAACACTCTTCTTTTTGATTACAAGGTTGTATCTATGCTCTGAAATGGCACTTACTACGACTGACTAGCACTATAAGAGGGATGACTTTTCCCCTAACTAAATCCTGAGCTCCTTGAAGGGCTTGTCTGTGCTAGCTTCCTTATAACTCTATGCAAATGATAAACATCAATAAAGGTAGATTGAAGTCAGTGTTCACAGTCTAATTTATGTGTTACTGAAGTAAAAATTATTGGAATTTTTAAAAAATTAGCTTATAGAAGCATTTTCTAGTGTTTACTTTACCAAAATGACAATTATGGAGAAACAAAGCTATGTAATTTTTATAATACTTTGGTGTATTCAAGTAAATCTCAAGCAGTATAGAACTGAACAAACTTCATATCCTAGCAGGTGACTATTGATCGAAGTAGAATGTATTTTATCATATGTACAGTTTGTACACATCACAAAAAAAATGGAATTATATTTCAGTAATGGAAAAAGCAAGTCACCTAACAACAACATTCTGGAAACATTGCTCTCTGTGATTAAGTCATTTAGGCCTCTTTTTTATAAACTTAAGAACATCTGTCATATCAACAAACATAACCAGTTCAATTAGCTTTTCAGGAGGACACTGTAACTTGGACTTCAGTTATAAATTTCATTTGCATGTTTAAAACACACCTATGTGGTTCATCAAATTGAAACTCTCCTATGGAACTAAAACCATGCACAGGGTATGCGTGATTTGCCGTTAAAAGATGATTTCATTCAATTGCCATAAACAGAAAATCAGCAAGAACAAAAGAAACAGAACTTACCTATTGTGCTAACTCTGGCTGAAGGACTAGCTAATGCTGCTGGGACAGAGGCTTTGAGGGGGCCTGCCCCACTGTTTATTCTCAGAGCTGGCATATGGGGAGAGGTGGGTGATGTGGGTGATTTGCCATCAGAGGTCTTGGGTTTAGCTGATAGGTTCAGTGGCTGTGCCACTTCATCCTGCAATGTGATCATTAGAACATGAGCTGTGATAAGGCAAGGCTGATCAAAAATGCCTAGAAAAACACAGGTATATAGCCTGTCATTTCCCATCAAATTACTCTACCAATCAGCGATCTTAACATTCAACCTATACATTACAGTGCTGGTTAGCTGTCAACAATGTCACTTTTAACTACATATTATGAAAAACCTTTAGTATAAGAGAAAGTACACGTGCACTCAACTATCCAGAAAGTATATAACTGATGTCATGTCTAAGAAATAGTCTTAAGCTATTCCTTGTGCTATTCAGTTCTATTGAGAGACCATTACATAATTCATATGAAATTATGATGTAGGTAGCCTTTGTTCAACCTCCGAAGAACAGGGGTTGAGTCTCAAGCACCTTTGTATCCCGGTGCTTAGCCAGAGTACCTGGAACATCCATGATGGAGGAATTAAATGGTGTGCACCTCTGATCAGAACTTATCTCCAGATTAAATACAAAAAAAAAGAAGGAAACTTTCTAACTTTCTCAGAAAATAATCTTTCTCCTAGGTTTCACAGACACAGTTTTGGACTTGATCTAAAAGTAAAAATAAACATAATAGACATTATACCAATATGTACTATTTATTTATATGTGACACTGTTCTAAATACTTAGCATTTTGTTTTCAAATCTAGATTTGTTTTCCAGATTTTCCGCAATGTATACCACAATCAATACATTGTGGTGTGACGATCTTTCTGTGGTTAATCAGCACATATGGTGAGTTCCAATTGTTCAATACCTGAATAGGTCAAGTTTATGTAGTTTACATTCTATTTTATACTTTCTATATTAGCCCTTGTGTAATTTCCTACATAAAATTTATGTATATAATTATCCTTAAAGTTTCTACCACATCATTTATTAGAATCAGATAATATTAACATTACATCACTTTTTTCATCACAAACTGAGAAATATGTTTTTAGTGCTCTAAAATTAAAATATTGTGTCATATGTTAAACCTTATTGTTAAAAATATCTACAATTTTATAAAGTATTATTGTAGAATAAAAATATAGTTTCCACTTAGCTACTGTTCTATCTTCACGAGTTAAGAGCATAAATATCTACCAGTAGTAGGTGGATAACCTGATGAAAGCGGGACAATTTAGATTCGAATGGTGTAATTTGATGGCATGGAAATCTATATCAATGTGTACAAAATTTTATATATATATCTACCAAAACCATTGAAATCAATCACTTTATAAAAATGGTAAAATGGCATAATAGCTATTCAAAGTTTATATTTTTAAAGTGGTTTATTGTTATTAAATTCCATGGTTGGCTGCACTTAGGAAACTTATGAACAAAGTAGAAGAAATTACTCTTTAACACTTTATTTTTTTTTTAATTCTGTTTTCTGTTTCAGAAAAAAAAGAATAGCTATTTGAAAATCTATGAGAATTCAAATGGTAATCTGGGATTGCATTAGATGTCTAGTAAGTTGATAACCATCATACCAAATTTATATGGATTCATAGTCTTGGAAGAAAGGAAGGTAAGCTAATTCCATGACTGGTTCACTATGTAAGAAAAGTTTAATTTAGCATTTTAAAAACTGCAGGGGCAAAATTATTCCCTAGAATAATTTGGTTGAGCTGGTGAGCCATAATCCTTATATGTCAGAAACCCATAAGTATTGTGTCCTTTTCCCCTTTATACCACAGTATGGATGGGTAATTTGCAAATTCGATCTTTGGATCAGAACCATCAGCACCACCTGGGAACTTATTAGAAAAGCAAATTCACTATTTTAGAAACTTTGGAGGTGGGTTCTAGCAATCCGTTTTAAAAAGCATTCCCAGGAGATTCTGATGCAGACTAACATTTGAGAGCCACCACCATATACAATATAAAGGGAGAAAATTTTTTTAACAAATGATTAAGCTTCAAAACCTTAAAAAAAAAAAAAGCTTCCTCAATGTAAGGAAGTAGCATTAAAAATACATAATGTTGGGGTGCCTGGGTGGCACAGTTGGTTAAGCATCCGACTCTTGATTTCGGTTCTGGTCATGATTTCATGGATCGTGAGACCGAGACCTATGTCCCATTCAGCTCAGCATCTCCTTCTCTCCTTCTGTCTCTCTTTCTGGACCTCCCCGGCTCCTGCTCACCTGTTAGCTCTCTCTCTCTCCCTCTCTCTCAAATACATAAATCTTTTAAAAAAAAAAAAAAGCATAATGTTATCTCAATCTTTAAAATTTATCAAAGTGTAATGTATGCTAATAATAACAAACGAAAGCATGCATCTGCATAATAAACTAAATGCTACTGACATTCGGTAGGCTACTAAAGATGAGGTTCCAGATTTTCTTCTTGTTAATCCAGCCTAAATAGCCAGTCAGATACGAGTTTTACTATTTATTATGTAGCCGTAAATATTCTAGATCCTTCTTCCTCCATCAGTTGTACCTGCTTACTACACTTCCTGTATGAAACTACCAGCTTTTGTCACAACAGTCTGAAAACTTCGTTGGTGTGTATTTGACAACTCTTGTCAAAGTTTTGAGGGGAGACTTGGAGAAATTAAGGTGGTTGTTTCACTTGACTGTGCAGAAAAGAAAGAAAGGAATATATTCCCAGAGTTGCAAAAGAAAAGATTTATGAGTGCAGAGGAAATAGAGCGTGAGTGTGTATGTGTAGGGGGAATAATGGTGTTGACGAAGATGATGCAGATGTAGGTGCTGATGGGACATGAAGCATATGAAATGTCATGTGCTTAGCTTTAAGCACTAAGAACTATTACATGCACGTACTGAAAAATGACTACCCAAAGCATTTATTACAGCAAGAGACCCACTGGAACTCTTAATATTCTCCTCCATTCAAGGCAGCACAGATGTCTGAAAGCCAAAAAGTGCAAAGCCCCAAGGACATAATAGAGGTTGACAGTTCCCAAGTTGATAGAAATGTCATTCAAAATTGCCCTTTCGTTCCGTTTCATTGTGTGACCAGGCTAATGGTATATTAATAAGAACCCACATGCTTGATCCTTATAGTGGTAACTATATAAATAATTTTGACCCATTATATGATATTATTTCACAATTTGGTTCTTCTAATAATTTACTACTGAGCTACTATACCAAATACCTATTATTCATCAAGAATATAAAAATTACAGTAGTTTTCCCATTTTCTATTAATTATTTTTCATTAGACTAGATGAAAAACTTAAAACCCTAACTATAAAATGAAAGCAGGCTCTTTATTTATGACCTGCATTCTCATAATTACAAATATGTGTAATAAATGCCAAGGTAAGGTTTTTTCCCTAAAGATGTTTAAGAACTTATTTAGGAGAAATTTGAAAGCTTAGCAAGATTAAACCCTACTCTTACAAATAAAGCAGGCATTTTAAAATTGTAAGTAAATAATTTTACATAAAAAAATAAGTAATTTTTAAGGTCAAGAAAACACTGGAAAAATAGCATTTCTCTGAAGTACACCATAAAGCAATAAGGAAAGCAATTTCTTTTTAATTACTTGTCCAATCGTTAAAGGATGATGTCATTTGAAAATTTTGAAAAAAGCTTATTTCATAATTAATGTATACACAAAGCGATAGTTAAGAAGAATCTTATGTATCCGTTGAATAGTTCCAAACTTGATCTGCTAACCTAGTATAAACACAAGGTCAACATTTACACTTAAACTTAATTATTTAAGTTTTAACTAATAGGCTATTACTTATATTTATAGAATTCATTATAATATTTCAAGTCATTTATTTAATCTTCAATTCTATGGAATAATTAATAATCTCAGGAGGGCAACTAAAATTCACAAAGTTCTAAAGAAACTCAGGTTGTTGGACCCAACATACGATATTCTTTTTAGTTATATGACAAATTTAATCTTAAATTGTAAAAGACATTGATGCAATAGAATTTCTGAAGTTCAGACTTAACCATATAATTTTTCACATAAAAAAGCCACATAAAGGGCAATACACGTTCAATAAAATGAAGTAATACACACATTCACTATTTATATACTAGCTTAAAAATTAAGGCACAAATGTTGATTTATTTTGGAGATTTTTTTGTGTGTGTGTGCTTCTCTGTTCTCTATACTATATAGCATCAGAAAGGTCCTTTGGAAGTGCTAAAGAGCTATTAAATTGGGTTATTTTTTTTGAGAAAAATACCAAGAGTCTGTGTACAGTATGTCAGAAAATACAATAATTTGTATAATAATGTGTAAGAGAATAATATTTCATATATACATATGATACATATCATATATATATATGCACACAAGTTTTAGGAACCTACTTATGATCATAACTTCTCCTAATAGAGTCTTGTCTAATCTTAGTTGTCTGGGATAGAATGCAAAACAAGTATCATCTAAACAAACATACAGTTTCAGGCATGTTCCATTTACTTCTAGCTACTACAACTTGTCTAAAAGCAAACATTTCACTTAACATCAACTTGTGGTCATGGTAATAGAAATATTGTGGAGGTGTAATGAATTTGTGTCCTAGCCAATGAAAAGAAATACCCCACACAGATAAATACTAAATTTGGATGAAGAAAATTATTGGACATAAATATATAGACTTAGATGCACTGGAAAAATACAGCTGTCATCACAAATACAGAGTTATTCCACATAAACTTAACAAAAACTATAAAATAACCATATAAATTTAAAATATATTTTACTTAGATGATTTTCAAATAATAGGTTTATTCCAGAAAAACATGTTAGTCTAACATAATTGTATAATATTCTGAATTTTAAATGTGCAAAGACCAAATCGCTCATAGAAATCAAACAATTTATCAAAGAAAAATCATTCTCCAGAACCCTGGAGGTTTAGTTCTCTCTCCCCACTCCTTAGCCTTTCTTTATATGTGTGTGTGTGTGTGTGTGTGTGTGTGTGTATGTATATGTATATATATATGTATATGTATATATATATACATATATATATATATATTTTTTTTTTT